GAGTTGCACTGCTGCATACTTTGTCAGGCACAAACAAAAAAAAAAAATAATAATAAAAAAAAAATAACAACAAAACGACAAAAGGAAAGGAAAATCGGCACAAAATACTGATGGCACCGATTGAATGACGCTGTGCTTTTGCTGCAAGCATTGTTGACAATCCACCTCAGCACTACGCTTGCTGCCGTCAGCCGTCTACAGCTTGAGGCCATAGTTCGTCTAAACTGCAAATGCTTAGTCGCGCTAAGGACAGTCTCAAGGCATACATGTCTGTTTTTGTTGTTGTTGTTGTTGTAGCTGCTGTTGTAGGCTCTCGGTTCCAGTTGGAAAGTTGCAATTAAACGAAGAATTATTGACAGTACTTTGTTCCATCACTTGCCACTTTTTTTCAACTTCAGCTGCTGTGCCGTGCTCAGTTCACGTTTGCTAGCAGGAAACCCAGCACCACAACAACAACAATGAAATGTGCAAAGTTTTGTTGTTAATTTATTGACTGGGAATCTAGTAATTTCATAGTAGTAGTTGGCATGCACGTTTCTCTTTATTAGAAATTTGCTGCGAAACTCAGCACATGAAATATGTTGAAGAGTTGGGGTTAAGTTAGGTTGGGTTGGAGGTTGCGTTGATTTTTTAAAAGATTGAGTATTCAACAAAGGAATTTGTAGTTAAAAATGTGTGTTTCAGAAAGGATTTAATTAATTTGCGTTAATATTGAGGGATTTCACTAAGGTTTAAATAAAAAATACAAGTCCATTTGAAAACTTGAGAACAAAAACGAAATGGAATCCAGAAATGTATTCGAACTTACATTCAGAAAGCTTTCGGTTGATCAAAGTAAATAATACTTGACTAAGAAAATGCAGTGAAATGTTTCAAAACTCTTAGCTTTAAATTGATGAAAGCTATTAAAAAAACAACTTTAAATTTTTCAAATAAGCTTTTCATGCACTTTAGTTTTAAATTTTTTTTTTCAAGTTTTTAAGTTTACAAATATATTCCTGCCTGTGTGCTTTAATGTTTGCGACTGAACATAAAGTTTACACTTGACTTTAGATTGCAAAGAGCTGTCATATGGTAAAAATTCGCAAAGCTTTCGGTTGAGCAAAGTAAATGATAATTGACTAAAAAATGCAGTGAAATTCTGGCACTGTAAAAAGCTTTGAACTAAGCTTTTCATACACTTTGAAAGCTTTGAATTGTTTTTCAACTTCTAAAATTTAATGACCAATTCTTGCCTGTGAGCTTTTTATCTTGCAATTGGGCATGCAGCTTTTTCTTGACTTTATATGCCAAAGAGCTTTCATTTCATAAACATGATTATTATTTTAGATTTCACTAATAATAATTGTTGGGGATTATTTTACAAAAAAGCTTTCAGTTGACTTGACCTGCCAATGAGCTTTCACTTTCTAAAAGGATATTAGTATTTAAGCTGTAGTAAATGGAAACTTTGTTCAACTTTTAAAGTTGAAAAATATATTCATAGCTGCGAGCTTTATGTGGTAACTGGGCATAAAAAATTCAATTTATTTAAGATGCCAACGAGCTTTCATTCGATAAATATGATTATTATTTAAGGTTTATCTAATAATAAACACTTGAGATTATTTTGCGCAACAGCTTTCACTTGACTTGACTTGCCAAAGAGCTTTCACTTCCACTTCCACTTTCAAAAGATATAAGTATCCATGTGAAAAATTAAAATTTTGAATTAAAACAAATGTATTCAAGAATTTTTTGGCTTGCAAACTCAACTTCAGAGCAACCATTAGTTGTTATCTTTAACATACCTTCCCGGAAATGCATTGTCCTTTATTTATTACTCAGTTCTTGAATTGAAATAGTCTCGATTCTACCGAAGAACAGCGAGTGCGTTCGTGAGTCATTTAAAGAGCGTCGCCTGTAGCATTTTCAATAGTGCCGTCTTCTCCGACTCCACTGCGTTTTATTTTCTACTCACCATGCATGTTTTGAAGTAGTGTCAGAATGTAGTGTTTTGGTACAAGTCTTCACTATTCTTTGATAATTGATATTACAATTTTATATCGAAGGGCTACTAATGGGATTGCAGTTTTGACTTCATTCTTCTAAGCAGGGAGTATGAATGAGTGAGATTTATGAAGAGATATAGGTATGGTGAAAGCTTTAAAAAGTTATTTGGACTCACCACATTCATGAAATGATGCCATTTATCAAAAACTCTCTCTCAATGATGAGAAAAGAACAGTTTTAACGGTTCCAAAATGTCAATCGGTTTTTCTTAAGCTAAAGCCAGGGTTTTTTGTTCTTTCATAGAGTCTAAACTGAATGAGCTCTCCTAATTCAAAAGCGCTATATAGAGCACAGATATACATACATACGTTTTCGTTGTATCAGCTCCAAACCAATTTGGTCTTCTCTTCAAACCGCTCAACCTTAATGCACTATGCTAATTGCTAACGCCCTACAAACGGTGCTACCCAACACTTTAGATTGTTGAGCCCACAAAATAGCATACAAACTCACGCACATACATACATATATATACACACACACATCAAAGTGTATATTTACTGTAACAAAACCTGCTATTAGAAAGTTCAATTAAGCCGCCACATTGTAGGCAAGGAAACATGCTTGATGAGAAGCAGCCAGCGTAAAGCCTATAGCCAACAGCAGTTGGCGGGTAGCGCGAAGGAAGGCGTGCCTATTATGGAACATAATGAATATGTATGAGGAAGTATATACCATAGCGCTGGTATATGTGTGATGGTGTATGCCCGCTTATGTGGCATGTGGCAATTTCGTGCAATTTTCATTCATGCTGACGTTGCGCTTTTCATTCAACTTCATTTTGCTGGTGTACTCTTCGGAGCGCCAACCCGGCAACACAAATACATAGCATGGAGTACAAAAGCTTCCTAGTTTACCTAAGAGTTCAACACATTCACTGTATATATTTTTTTTCCCCTTGCCATTTTCTTAGCTTTGGCAAATTTTATAATTTTTTTTTTTCAATTTTCGTTGCGCCTTTTCCCACATCAACCTGAGCAGAGCGCCTACATTGCTTGACGCCAGTCGCTTTTATTTAGCTGGCTTGTTCTATACAGCATATTTTTTTCTGCCTTATACTTGCAACATTTTTTCTAGCTGCTGCTACTGTTGCACTTTTTATATAAATACAGCTAAGGCAAATATGCCCATAGAAATCGGGAAGAAAAGCGGTGCAACTCGGCGCTACCGTAAGCACACATACAACCAACATAGACAGCTAACCTGGTTTGTTGCCATTTTCAAGTCATTTGTGTTGAGTGAATAGGTTGCGCTGGCCGCTTGTTTGCCGCACAACTCCAATTCAGCGCATAGCAAGTGAGGCAGTCCGCCAACATTACACCGCGCGTCAGTCCGTCAGTTAGTTGGCATATACATATGTACATATACATGTGAGTAGGAATATAGTAAGCGCCATCAACATCTAACCAACACGCTGCAACATCTACACACGCACACACATGCACTTACAAATTGCGGTTGAAAGCAATTGCTGTGTATTGGTGCTGCTCTGCTTTAATTTCGCTGTTGCAATTGTGTAACAACAACAACATTAAAAAAATTAACAGCTATAGTTACAACAACAACAAGAATAATAAAAATACAGAATAATAAAATACAAAAAATACTGCTTCACTTGCAACAACAATAACAGCCGGCAACTAAAACTAGTAGCTAAACTTGACGGTAATAAAATGCTGACGCAGCAAAGTGGATGTGGAAATATAGGCTAAGAGAAAGATTTTGTTACAAAAAAATTTCAAAACAAACTAAAACGATAACTTCAGTTGCACCGAAGCTAGAATATCTTTAACGAATAGCAAATTTTCCATACAAGATCTTTATTTGGATTGGTCTGTTTGTATGACAGCTATATGATATAGTGGTCCGATCTGAAAAGTTTGTTGAGAGATTGTACCGTTAACTTGAAAAATATTACAAACTAAATTTCGTGTAGATAGCTGGTCAGATAAAAAAGTTTTCAATACAAAGACATAATTTTAATGGACCAGTTAGTATGATAGCTATATTATATAGTAGTCAGATCTGAACAATTTATTGGGAGATTGTACCGTTAATTTGTGTAGTAATACATGCCAAATTTCGTGCAGATATCTTTTAAGATAAAAAAGTTTCCAGTACAAGGACTTGGTTCTCATAGAACAGTTTGTATGCCAGCTATATGATATAGTAGTCCGATATCTTCAGTTGCAACATATAGTCAATTTCCTGAGATAAAAAGAACGTGAGCAAAATTTCAAACCGATATCTTAAAAACGGAGAGCCAAGTGTTTGGCGTATATTTAGACAGCCGGAGAGATGGACATGGCTAAATCAACACAGCTCGTCACGCTAATCATTTATATATGTACAAATTTTATAACGCCTCTTTATTTTCCTTCTGGGTGTTAGAAACTTCATAGTAAGCTTAATATACCCTGTTTAGAGTATAAAAACAACGAAAATGGCACAGCATTGCAAGTAAAGAAAACAGCAATAAAGCAATAAATGCTGTAAAAAGTAGTAAGAACTCGGGTAAATACGGCTACATTAAATCGCAAAAATAATATGGAAAGAAAAATAAAGAAAAATGTAACAAAAAATAAATACGTCATAAAAGCAGTGTGCTTGCAACAAAACGCGTCTGCAAAGTTGCTAACGAGTCTGCTTGCAATTTTCAGCAAGCAAATTGCTGCAGTTTCTCGATAATTAGATACTTGACCCACGCAGTTGGCAATAGCTAATACAAGCAAAACAAAAAAAAAAAAAAACAGACTCAATAAAGATTTGTCAGTCACAGCTTTTCAAGCACTTAAAGCTCACTGCAGCAGCTTACAAAGGTGAAAGCGCTAATTTTACATAAATATAAATTATTTTCTAAAAGGTTCATAAAAATTATTTAATTTATTATAAAAAATCAAACCATAACAACATTCTAATGAAAATTTATGTATTTCCTCTCATTTCAGAAAATCTAAAATTCGACACTGCCTCTTATGATTTATATCCACTAAACTTTTTGCAACGAAAATAGCGAGATATTAAGCAACAAAAGGCTAAATGCTGTAACTCTATACTGTGAAACAAAAAATATCTATGAAATTCTAAAAATATAAGCTACACTTTAAACTGAAACCCACACGAAAAATAATAAAAAACCAAAATAACAAAAATGCTTACTACTACAAGCCACACAACAGCAACTACAACTCTAAGCACACTGAGTAGTAGAAATTCAAAGTCTCATTACCACCACCTCCATCAACACAGTTCACACCCGCGCAACAACACTAATACCCGCAACATGTTCTCCCAACAGTGCCTTTCTTCCCGCAACTATAACTATCGACTACTACAAATCGCTCTACTGTGCACAGTGGCGCTACAGTTCGTGCCGTTGGCGTACAGCTTCGATGTTGGTGAGTACCAAGGACAATTATTTCTTTTATTTTATTAGAGAGTATGAGTCGGTATTAAAATTTTTTTTGTGGTTGGAAGTTAGAACATCAAATTAAATTACACAAAAATATTAAAAATATAATTTATTTCAATAAATTAAAACTTTATAAAAAAAAAATTAATTAAAATCAAATTATATCTTTAAAAATCGTTTAAAATAAGGACCAAAAATAAAATATTTTATTAAATTTAAAAAAAAGTCTTGCGGTATTTTCGCTAGTTGGCGCTGAGAGCGCGACGTACTAGTTTTATTCGTCGCATCGGTTCATGCTATACCTTTTTGAAAATTTCACGCGCTAACAAGTGTTTGATTGATTGTCGTTTCTTTTAAGTCGTTCGTGGGTTATAGCGTCGCAAACATGGAGCAAAATAAAGAGAAAATACGGCATATTTTACAGTACTACTACGATAAAGGCAAAAATGCATCTCAAGTCGCCAATGAAATTTGTGCAGTTTATGGACCCGATACAGTTTCCATTTCCACCGCACAACGATGGTTTCAACATTTTCGTTCTGGTGTAGAGGTGGTCGTAGATTCGCCACGTTTCGGAAGGCCTGTCGTCGAAAATTGCGATCAAATCGCTGAATTAGTCGAAATAACCGACATAGTAGCAGCCGTAGCATCGGTCAAGAGCTGGGCATGAGTCATCAAAAATAATTTTATGAACAATTGAAAATTGAAAAAAATTCAATAAAAATACCGCAAGACTTTTTTGACAACCTATTATTTTATGACTTTAAGAAATATTTTATTTTTGACACAATTTAAATTATTATTCAATAAACTTTATTTACTGTACGTCTACTACTGAAGAAACACAATATCTATACATTGTAAGTCTGCCATGATTGTTCCTTACATTGCCATTCACTCCAAATTGTCTGCCTATAACTAGACATATATATATATATACTTTATTTCCGTGTATTAGCAGTTTGCACTTAAAATA